CTGTTGTGTATCTTGGTCCTTGATTGTATCAAGTGGCAGTCACTTGCTTCATTTACGCTGAAAATAAAACTCTCTCTCCCAAATAAATCTCTCTCCCACTAAATACTTCATTTTTTATCCTAACTCTGATATATTATTGTTCTTTTCTGAGACAAGTGCAAATAATTGACAATAACATATGCTGTTTCCTGAACCAGTCTACTCTGCCTTATGCATAACTGCTCTAGAAAATACTGATTTTCATTAGAGGAACAACAAAATGAGAGTACTTACATCATATTAAAGTGTAGTATGCTAACATGAATCCTAACATATTTTGCTGCTTGGGAAGAGAAATGTTTGCATAAATGTGAGGTCCAGAAATACTACAATTAAAATAGAAACTACTTATTTTAATCAGTAACCTCAGATATTTATGTGTCACTATGTGATGTCTTAAGAAATTGAGTTATATTTATCAATGGTATCAGGAATGTCCTTTGTCTTTAAATGGGTTATCATTATAACAAGGCAGTGAAACCACTGAAAGAAAGACTAGGTGGGATGCAGTTAAATTGAACAAGGAAGAGCTGGGGTTCTTCTGTCATTAGTTTTGGTTTGGTAAAAAAATTTATTCTTTTCATGTGTAAAAACAAGAGAGGATGCTTGAAATAACGTTCAATTCCTTAAACAAAAATTCATTAGCTTTCCTATTAGTCTATCTGATAATTTTTACTCATTTGTTCCTGATTTTTAATCTTCCACAATTTTTATTTTATTGAAGTAAAGCAAACAAAAAATCATTATATTGAAAGACAAAGGTTAACTGGTCCTCCTGATGATACGTTAAATTTCTTGGAATTTCCTCTTTAATCAGGGTGTTCAATCAAGCTAATCAAACTATTTTTTTATTTTTTTCCCCACACTGAACTTTCCAGAATCAACCATCTCCCATTAGAACTTAGTTTCTGCATTTATCTTCCTGAGAATTTGAATAAGCTTTGAGTAGCTGATCGTTCACCAGCAAGTACTAATGAGACTTCAGTATTTTCGGCAAATGTCTCTTTTTGGGTCTGACTGAGGAAAAATTAATTCTGTTGAAATTGTTGTCCACAGAAATACAGAGCATCAAAGGCACATACTAGGCCTATATATAATATGTTTTTAATGATACTAAAGTAAAATAGAAGGTTATCAAATCCATGCAGTCAAGACGATTTGCCTTGCCTTCTTTCTATTTTTCATTTTAAGTCCCAGGCCTTCAGAAAATGTACAAACATTCCAAATATGCATGCACTAATTGGATTGATGTGCTGATCCCATCTGCACTGTTCATTGCATAATTCTGGGGCTTGCATTTGATATCTGATATATTTTCATCCTATTCCCTCTTTACCTTGCTTCTAACACAACATTCAAGAGGTCAGTACATGTTAACATGGATATGAATTTAAGTATTTATTCAAACATATTGCAACAAAAGCAACTGATAATGACAAAACATGTACATTTATGTACATTTTTTTAAAAAAGAATTTAGAAATAATTCCTGATTTCCATAGCTTTTAAAAGGGTTTGTTTGCATCTTGAGTCAAAGTAGATAAAAAAATTTGCAAGTTTGGAGGACCATGCATTCACCTCTTCTAACCAAAGCCTGTTATATTGCATATGTCCTCTTTTATATAGTTAAGTCTTCTCATAAATAGATAAATAAGTATTTTTCAAAATTGATGTGAACACATTGGCAACTCTAGAATCCAATTATTTCATGGTAGTCAGGGAAAGAGATCCTAGGTAAAAATGTGTGAGGTTTTTTTCACATTGTATCATTCTGCTTCTCTCTTCAGTCATTTGCTTTTCTTACACTCTTCTCTCTGAATTAATGATCCCTTTAGTGCCTAATATTTTCCCCATCTAAGAGCTGTAATCAAGTCACCTTTTAATCTTATTTAGCAAATAGATTGAGTGTGACATCAGGTTTGGGAATGATAGAATAAAAATCTCAAAACACTAACTCTCCAGAATTCAATTTTTTTACTTGATTTGTCCAACTCATCAGGCATGGATGTTCAGGTGAAAGAATGTTGCCCTTGCTTGTCACATAAGATGCTGAATGCAGGGAATTATAAAGTAGAGGAATATCAAAGACATAATTATTGTCAATGATTAGGGAAGAATTACAGCTCAAGACTGAATTCTTCCTAAAAGATATTGTTAAATTTCACTTGTGTTTTAGACCATGAGTTAACAACTTCTTTTAAAATAATACCCCTTCACCTAGTTAGGTAAATTGGCTACCAATTTCCACTAAATGTTTTCTTCTAGCTACTTTAAAAGACTGTTGTATTATCTCTTGTATTTTTATTTTTTTTGGCAGAACAATACCATTTTCCTAGTTTTGCTGCAAATGACCATAACATTACTGAAGGCACCTCTTTCATCTGGTTTTCCCCACTGGCCTTCATTGTTCTATCCTGTTTTGTACATTTTGTCTTTCCTTGTTCTAATAATCCCATTGAGAGCCATTTTTTAACAAAAGGCTAAGAAATACTTGGTAATAGTGGTACAAAAAAAACATGGAGGAGTGAATGAACTCAAGGGTAGAAACAATGGCAGGAAAAAATTGTTATTACATCCAGATAGTGAGACTCTACTTTCTGGTTTTCCTTTGGGTAGAGCAAATGAGGTCACTGCTTTGCTCATTTTCCTTCTTCAGATTATTAACGTGGATGGGCACTCATTCTTGTCAAATGTGACTAATAATGGAGGAAAAAATAGGGTGAGCCTTGATATATAACCTCATCTATGTGTACTGCTGGGGTACAGTGTTGCACTGAAGTAGAACAGGACAGCTAGATAGTAAATTGAATAATAAGAAAGAATTGACCAATCCCCCTCTTCATATTGCAAATGTTCTCTTATATATGCACTAATACCAATTAATGTCCTTTTTCTGAGGAATGGCCTCCTTAGCTTTTCCTATTAGCAAGCCCTAACATCTGGGATTTGCAGTGTCCTGTAATTTGGTTACTATGGTGATGAGGGACAGCAGAACATTTTTGAAAGATTCTTTGAATGTCCTCTGATGCCGAAGACAAGTGAATAATCTGTCATAAAAGATAGATCCAATTCATTTTGCCTTATTGGAATAACTATTTCTACTGAACAGAACAAAAAAAAGAAAAAGGGAAATGTTTTGACCCTATCCCATTAGCTGTTCTTGTATATAATAGAGACAGAGTGTGATATTTCAATCTTCCAGTAAATGCTGAACCACATACTTTTAGTTGCTTTAGATAGCTAGTCTATTCATAAGTAAATTATTGGAGGTTGACATACTTGTCTATTAAGTGGTTTATAATTAATTATTTATGTTTATCCTGCAGCTTACAATTTGAGTTTTGTATTTTGAAATTATACATCTTTTTGTAAAGTATAATTTATTCTTTTATGAATGCCTATTTTTAAGTCAGTGGATTCGAATGACTAACAAAATGTTGAATCAATGCATATTACTACTTCAGAAGAGATTTATTACAAAGCTGTTTTATTGCTACAGCAAATTGCTAAGAAATTCTTCTGATGTAATTTGTAACTATGTATTAGGCAAGTGGTTTGAATCAGATTATCAAAGCAAAAAGTATGCAAAAAGCATATTTGATACATAATTTTCCAGAAGTAAATGGAAATAAATTCTTAGATGCTATAATTCTTCTTTATCTTTGATGTCACAGTATTAAAAAGTGTTAATTTTCAAAAATACTTAGGCAGTTCATAAATGTTAAGGTAGGCAGACAGATCAGTTAAATCCTGCCTAGGGTTACAAGAATTTAGGAGAGCATGGGAAGCTACTGGACAGAGGGTGAGAAACTGATGAATTCCACAAGTATAAGGGTAAGTGGCTGGCAAATATTCCACAGACCACCATGAGCAAGGACTGAATTACGCAGACAGTGAAGGGGGAACTTTGTGAGAGACATGGACATTTCAAATAATTAAAGAGAATGATTTGAGGAAATTTTATTTATTATTTTTTGCAAGGCCAACAAAGCTTGAGTAAAGTTCTCTTTTCTTTATTACTTCTGTGTTAACACCTCTCCTGGTGGTGAGTGATAGATCTTTAAACTAGAGTAGCCAGAAACCAGAATGACATCCAGACCTGGAATGACTCAAGCTCTGAGCCAGCAAGTCAGCAAGAGGTTCAGGGAATGGATATGTAAATCAGACTTAAAATCTGTGCTGATTCTTGAGGGATCCACTAATGAGAGTTTATCTTTCTATTTAGAAAATGAAGGAGTGTGTATGTTCATTGTTGAACTTCAATACTAACTAGCCAGAGATGAGGAAAAAGTTTGAGCTGTCATTGCTACTTATGCTCGTGTGACTGCTGTTCATGTTTACCTGGAAAAAGACACAGTTCTTCATGTTGGTTCACATGACCAGCAGGTTTTAGCGTGTGTATGTGTGTGATTGTGTGTTTGCTTACTGAAAGCACATTCAGGTTCAGTACTGGCTGGATCTATAAACAGGAATGAGAAGAAGGCTCCTGGTCTGGGAATCCACTGGATTCAGCTTCCATTAATAACTGTGAGACTGTTCAGCATCTCACAGGACCATGGCTCCATCCTTCCTTTGCTACAGATCAGGTTAGTCTCTCATAGAGATTCCTGCCATGTTAATCCACGAAAATAAAGCATATGGGTATATGTTATTTGCTCCTTAAATGGTGATAGCTTACAGATGTCCTAGGCAGGTATTGGAGCTTCACAATGTAAAACAAAAATTAGAGAAACACAATTAATAAAAGGCTCTTAAACCCTTAACAAAATAAGAAAATAAAAGGAAAAAAAAACCCACAAACAACCCCCCCCCCAAAAAAAAAAAAAAAAAAAAAAAAAAAAAAAAAAAAAAAAAAAAAAAGATAAATAATAGGGAAACACAACATAGTAAAAAAATAATGTCAAAGAGCATGTCAAGCATCAACTCAACACGCTGTATTTTTTTATGTTTATTTATTTTAGGTCCATTTTGTGAAGAACCTGGTGATCCTTGTGCCTCTGAGCCATGCCTGAATGGAGGTGTATGCCACTATAACCAGTCTGGATATGTTTGCAATTGCCCTTCTGGTTTTCTTGGTCACAACTGTGAAATTGACATCAATGAATGTTCTTCAAGGCCATGTCAGAACAGAGGTACATGTATCGATTTGCCAAATGTAAGTATAAATGTTAAAGATCCCTGAGCTGGAAGGAACATTTAAATATGATGTATTTCCAACTTCTCTGCAGAGGGCAGAGACCTCTTATGCTAGATCAGGTTGCTGAAAGTTCCATCCAACCTGACCTTGAACAATTCAAGGGATGGGACATTTGCAACTTTCCCTCTATCTCACCAATTTAGCAAAAATTATGATGTGTGGGATGATGTCAGAGGTCTCACAGAAATCAAAATAATGTGATCACTTACCCATCAGCACAGTTGCTACATAATTGAAAGACACCACTAGTCAGACATGATTTACCCTTTGTGAAACCATATTGTTTGTTTCTAATCACTTTCCTATCATCCATATTCTTTGGCATACCTTACAGGAGGGTCTGTTCCATGAAAGTGTCAAAACATTTAATTCTAATATAATTTATTTTATTAGTTTTTCATACTTCACAAAGCAACAGCATTTTCTCAATGTGTCCTGTTTATACTATTTTTATGATAAACCCCCCCAAACTCCCCATTTCATGTCAGTTGCTTGGTGATCACTTAAGAAGCTACCCATGTTATTTTATTTCTTTCTTCCTCTTCCTAGCAAATCATCTGACACAAACACGAGGTATCATGTGGTCTTTATTAATTAGTCTTGTTCTTGCTTTTCATGCTGTATAAGTTTTTTAATTCCCTTTTTTCTTTATTTTTTCTTTCTGTAAAAAAGAATAATTTCATGCAGAACTCACAAAGTTTTGATAATAAAGTCATACCTGGTAGTACATCAAAATAAATTGATGTTTTCTCATTAGCATGACTATTGCAAATAGCAGTGATTATACAGAATCAAAGCAGAGAAAGAAGAGTTCAAAAGCTTAGTTATCACATAGCAGTGATACATACTCATACACTGAGAGAAAAAGAGACATCTAAATTGATGCATAAATTTATAGATTTCTAAGTTATGCAACTTGTCTAAATATTTTGTCTAGTAGATATACTAGCATAAACTATTTTTGTGCAATAGACAAACAGTTGCAGTAGTTTGTTTCACAACTATGGAAATGTCTCAGTGGGAGTTGAAGTTTCCTGATTATATCTTTAAGATCAATTGTAAAGAAACACGTAAGCATTTCCAATTTTATTAGGGGAACAAACACCTTTATTTTTTCCTTTACTTTCCGACTTCAAAAGGCCTATGAAGAGCATAGAAAAATAAGGGTGGGACTGTCAGCCTTAAGAAATATTTTGTTTTGTAAAATAATTTACCTTTCTTACTGTTCATATTAAAGATTGCAGCAACTGACAGATGTCTTTCGGTGTTAATGAGAAGCATAGACTGTGCTTTATATTGAAGGAGAAAATGGATATGCATGATTTTCTTTCCTCCTCTAGTTTGTGACACTGGTTACTAATGTACCTTGCGTACTTTACTGTTTAATAGATGCAAACATTACATTGGAACAAATTCAGAATTGAGGGAAAAAAACCCTTAAATTAATTAATAAACTCCTTGATTCTGTTATGAGATCACAAAACCGCAATTTTAAAGCTGGTATATTTCCATCTAGAAAACTCAAGTATGGTATAATCTGTGCTTGAAGGCCTGTTCTCCTTGTCCTAAATTAAATTGTAACCTATCTGAGGCTAGAACTATTCTGTCTTTGTAGACTCCTTTATATGATGAAAAGTTGTCCCATTTAGGACCTCACTGGTAATGGATGTAAACACCATAAACACTAAATTTTGTGCTGTCTTGGGTATAACAAATAATTATGTCTAATTTCCCTCTCTTCTATAGGATGTGGCATGTACCTGTATGCCAATATTTACTGGCAAGTTCTGTGAGAGAATACTGAATCCATGTGAATTATTGCCTTGCTTAAATAATGCAACTTGTATAGCTCAACAGCAAAACTATAACTGCCGGTAAGATTGGAAATTAATTTATTTCAGTGCTTTGTTGGCTCACTTGATGATATCACACAGATTGCAGAAAGAAAAGACATCATCATTCACAGAGAACACAGAAAACTATAAACTTTTGTTTTAAAAAAATATATTTCTCTTTTGTGCTTTACTCTTTTAGGTTTCTTATAAACTCTGGGAGCTATACAAAAATATTTAAAGCATTTAAATTTAAAAAAAGTATTTAAATGTTCTATTGTTATACTACAAAAAATATATAAATTTTAAAACACTGATGACAATTGAGACAGTTGTACTACATGTGACACTCCCTTTCAGGGTGTATGAAGTTTATGTTGTTTCTGAAAACTTATGGCACCCTATTTAATTTCTAGCTCACAGACACACATTAGTAGACTTTAAACTGATCCTTCAAGCAGCATATGAAAAACTGTTTTATTCAGAAAGACTAAAAATGATCCATTTTAATGTACCAGAAGTGATCCAGTGTATAATTTCATTTCATTTTTAAATAGATTTTTAGATATTTTTTTCTATGCCAATAAGGAGTACAATTTATCCTGTTCCCCTTTGCTTGGCTTTTATCTTGCTGCCTGAGTAAATTCTGATAAGCATTACTGAAGAAAATGTTTTTCAAATTTTAGGATATTCATAAAAGCAGAGAATTGAAAGCTGTGATACAAAAAAGCCTGACAACACATTATGAATGAACTTAGAAACTGCAAAATATATAACAGAAATATAGAACACAGAGTTACAGTGCATCAGCAGAAATTCAATTGAGAGGACTTGAAATTAAAATATAAGTAGAACTATGCGTACAATTTTCCTAAAGAAGAAAATCCTAACAATTTCATTCATATTCACTCCCAAATACAGATATACATACAAACACACATATGCAAGCTCATATACAGTTAGATCTTCCCACATAGATATGTAAAGCACAGAACAAAAGTTATCATTCATTTTCTAATTCTTTAAATTGATATATAAGATAATAATTTATTATTATGTAGCCAGTTTTGCCCACAATATGTATATATTATTATTAAATTTGTTTCAATTTACATTCAAAAATATACATGACATGAAAAATTAATATCCAGATGTATATTGCCTTTATTAACAGAAACCAAACCAAAAAAGTAATAAAAAATTATTCTGGCCCTGTTATTCATATTGAATAATCTATAACTCCACAAAATATCTGTAGAAATGGTCTGTATCAGGAACACCATTATACCATAGAAATTGTTTAATAAAAATATCTATGAGAAAACATTGTGGTTGAACTATCTTTCCTTTAATAATATTATGTGAGAATAAGCATGGAAGTAATTATTTAGATCAATACAACAGAACATAAAAATGGGCAATTAAGAACCCATTTTACATTGGGATAAAGCTCATTAACACTAAGAATGCTCTAAAAGCGAGCTAACAACCTAGAGAGAGCACTGTGAATAGTGTTCAATCCACATAATTTACCTTAGCAACCAATTTGCCCACCAGACATTCTTGATGGAGAACTCCAGAAAGTGACTCATATCTTCCAGAGAGAAATATCCAGAACAGGTGAGATGACACATCTTACACAAGTTCACAACTTTCTTTGTACAAAGGTAGAGGGTTACAATACAATCACAGAATATTAGAACAATAAATATATATTACTCTCAGAGACTCACAGAACATCCCAGGTTGAAAGACACCTTGAGGTATCTTCTGATCTGAACGTCCATGGAAATCAGAGTTTAGATGAGATCATCTAGTACCCTGTTCAATTGCTTATTGAAAATCTCCAGTGTTCAGCATTAGTTTTGCCATTCAGTCCTCAAAGGCTTTTGTCCTCACTTTTTGTGAAATTAAAATCAGTTTTCCACCACTTAATCTGGAATAGTTAATAAATATAAATATTAATGCCTCTGTACTTGAAAGGAGGCATTTAGATGAGAGAAAGATTTTTGAGGTAGTATGAATGACATACTTTTCACAAGGAGATTACATTCAGTAGTTTTGTTTGTGAGAGGTGCAATCTTGCAAGAGTGCTGAAAAGCAAAGGAAGTGTTGATAGATAGAGAGCTCCAAGAGGCTTTACTGTTTTAAGAATTCAAAATTTTCTTTTTAAATTTATGTTCTGCATTAGCTACTTGATTAACAGAGGGTTTTGGAAGACCCATAGGAAGACTGGTTAGAGAGTTTCAGTTTTCTAAAATCACAGACTTGGATGCTTTTTGCCTGTGATTCATGCTTTAATTAATTTTACCTAAAGTAAATCTACCATTAATTATGTTACCTTAATTTGGAAGATTTGTAGCTACTCCTCAACATTTTAAGTGAAGATTTGATAATTTTTTGGTAACCATTGTCAAATACCCTATGTTATGTCTCTGTCTAGTCACTCCACAAGAAACTGTGTGTTTCATACTACATGTGGTGTAATACTACATGTAATACTACGACATGATCCACTTTTATACCATTTTAACACCATAAATAAATGTAATAGTGGTTAGGTCAGATGCATGCATATACAAGTTAAAATAATAGCTGAATTGCACTTTTTACTTCATTACTTTTTATTTTGCTTCCCCCTGTGCTATGTTGTTCTCCTTATGCCCAAACTACATTCTTATATCCTACACAATCCCAGCTTCTTCCCAACACATCCTTCCTTCTTTGGGAAAGCAGCTGTTTTCCATTCTAAACAAATAACCAAACAGAATCAATTTAATTTTCCTCACTTCAGTTATGATGTATGACTATCTTGTATCCTAATTCCATCTTTTCAGTCTTGATATCACACACAACTTTGTGCTAAGAATCTGATACGTGCCTTTTTTCTTAAATGTCAAAATTTAAGGTGAATTCAAATAGGCAGTGAACAAGCATATCCATCACTATAAACTATTGTTGTTTGCTTTTTATCTTCTTCTATTATCCATGTACTTTAGGATAATAAAATATCACAAAACTGTGAACTGGTGTTCTGAGAAAATATGCTCTGTTGGTGCCATCTTTGGAACTTTGTCAACTTTTTTTCCTGTTAGCTTACATTTGCCTTTCCTGAAATTAGTATGTTTATTGCAAAGCAACAAAATAAAAGCAAAACCAGAAAAAATATTCAATTATAAAAATTAGAAGAAACCGCTTCTAAAATTGGCTTGCTAGATTGTCTAGTTAATGAAATAATCATAGATTGAAGCAAAAAAGCTGGGAACTCTTTCGCTTCAGATCATTGGTAAAAACAAATCAGTAAAATAACATTGTAATTGAGTTGCTTTGACTTGATCTTAAATGTTATTTAAAATTATGAGAAAATATGCAAAACCTTTTTATTATTTTACATTCCTTTCATATGCAAATTTTATTATGAAAAACTCCTTTTAGCTATAATTCATGAACTAGAACTTTGTTAAAAATAGACTTTGCAAGAATTTTGAAGCCAAGTACATGAAATGGTATAAACATGATTGCATGCAGCACTTTTTTCAACAGGAAAGTGAGGATTATGTGGTGCATTGCTCCTTGCAGTGTCCTCATATGGCTATGTCTATACCAGCCTCAAAGTATATAACCATATACAGATGTTTTTTTCCATATCCATTTACCTCTGTCCAAATGGTCCTATGCCTTAATTGTGGTTGGTTTCCAGGAATTTCTGATTAAATCCAACCAGTTTAAGACTTAACTAAGTTTAATAAAGTGACTTAACTTCTGAGCATACTACATGTGAGAAGCTTCATGCATTTTGAAACAAGGAATTGGATAGTTTTTTTGTAAATGAGAAAACATAAACAACACATCTGGATCTCATATCTATTAGGAGCAAGAACATAGGAAAACCAGAAGCAATTCTGTATAATCTTCATAGTTTCCAGCTTCTGGACTGAGTAATTTGAAAAATAAACTACCTCTAAGAAACAGCTAAAAAAATTCCCACCTATTACTTTAGGATTATTTCTCAAGCACAAATTTTCAGCTATCTGACCATTTCCTTTCTCTTCTTCTTAAATCATTTCTTTCCATGATACCAGAAATAGCCTTTAGACAGGGGAACATGCTGTGTCTGTAAGAACATAATGAGACTGTTTGACAAGGATTATCTATCTATCAAGATATAAGTATTCAAATATTTTTCTACCTTTTTCCATTATTGCTGTTGAATAAGACTTCTTTACTATCCATTTGAATCTTATCCTTTTTATTTGTGTATAAGAGATTTTTTTTTTAACATAGGAGGGCTACATCAGAAAGGATTTTCTCCTACTAATTATGTGCTGACATGAAGCAGAAGAATTTTCTGTAGTTCCTTTTACATACATGAGTTATCCATCACTCAATTGGCACCACATGAAACTAACAGTCACAAAAATTGAATGCTAGTTTTTTCTTTAAAGAAAATGCTGAACTACAATTAAGTAAACACATAAACATTTATTTATATCCATTGTTGTCTCTAGATTGTTCTTTACACAATTAAGCATATCTTTATTTTATATTTATACTACTCTTTATTCATTAGCAAAGATTGATATTTATTTGTCACTTATCACATTTTTATTTTTGTATTAAAGCATCTCTCTGATGCCTAAATTGACCCATCCTTTCTAATAGCTTTCCAAAACCTTGTTACCTAATCTATAACTGTTTATTAAATATTACCTCGTTCTAGAGGAAGGGTTATGAAAAATTGATGTGAAAATGCTTTAATCAATGAAAGAAATTATTTGTGAAAAGCAACATTATCCAGAATCAAGCAAGGGATTTTTAATTCCTTGGAAACATATTCTGTTTATTTTAAATAACATAAGAGATCTATTTTGTTACTGCAAGAACATTATTTAATAGAATTATGGATCATAATTAAATACAATTAACTTTTAAAATGCAAGTTCTCTAAAATACCCTGGTGTATTTGCAGCTGCATGCCAGGATTCACTGGAAAGAACTGTGAGGAAGTAATTGACTACTGCAGGCTGCTCAGCATCAACTGTCTGAATGAAGGATTGTGTCTTAATATAATTGGAGGATTCACTGTAAGTAATTTAATACATATTAAACTAATTCAGTGTTCCAAAGTATAAAAGCTTCAGACAAGCAAACTTGAAATGCATTCATTACTCTAAGAGATGAGAGGGGCACACTTTTAAAAGTTTTATTTATTTTAATCGATAACACGACTACAATTCACTTGGATAATATGGATTTTTTTATTACTTTTCTATTGAGATCTTGTTTAGTACTATATCAAGTAAGATAACTGAAGGGTATTTTAATAGTAAAAAGAATATATAACTAATTGTTGTCCAGTATCATTACCCACAAAGATGATAATCACAACTTTTTGAAGCCTTTAAAAATACATTGCTTGAATTAAGATCATCTGTTGCAATTGTTTTAGCCAGAACCAAATTACTTATCTACACATAAACATGTTTAAAATTAACACAAATTTAAAAGTTTGATGATGAAACTGTATTGTGGTGATGTTCATTCCAACTGACAATCTAGGAAAAAAATATTAGATCTGCTTGTTTTAATTGTAAATTCCTCCTGAAAATGTTAAGCAAGGTGCAGAATCCGGCCCTTGTCCATATGGTTGGTGATTGCCTGTCCCTCTATTTTGTCAAGGTCTCTCTGTAAGGCCTCTCTGTCCTTGAGGGAGTCTAAAGCTGCTCTCAGTTTAGTGTCACCAGCAAACTTACACCGTATTCCTTCAAGTTCTTTGTCCAGGTCATTTGATGCTGAGGAGCACAGGGCTGAGGATGGAGCCCTGTGGATCCCCACTAGTCACAGGTCACCAGCCTGGTGTCACACCATTCATTAAAACCCTCAGTGCCTGACCTGTGAGCCACCTGCTCACTCATCATATAACCTGGTTATTAATATTTTTCCAAAAGGCTCCTGTGAGAGACACTATCGAAAGTGTTGCTGAAAAGATTGCATCCGCTCATTTTCCTAGATAAACTAAGTGGGTTTCCTTTCCATAGAAGGAAATAAAGTTTGACCAGCAGGACTTCCCTCATGAAGCCGTGCTGGCTGTGACTGATGACTGCAACACTCTGGGTGTTTTTCAATACTTCTCAGAATAATTTCCATGGTTTTACCAGGCACTGAAGTGAGACTGACAGGCCTGTAGTTTCTGGGGTCCTCCTTCTTCTGTGTGTGCAGACGACCACAGAAAACAGTAGTGTAGTTAATATTACACAAATATGATAAGTACTTCTTGGTAGACAGCACTACTTTAGAAAAACATGTGTTCTAGGAGAGGCAAATTCAATGCTATATGCATAGAAAAAAAGAATATGAATTACACAGTAGTGAGTGTTCCTGATAGTCAGTGACAAAGAAGGCAAAATGTGACACCACACCATTGATGAAGACAGAAAGACAATCCCTGTAGTAAAAAAATAAGCACGTGTATATATTGAAGCATTTCTCAGTAGTTATATATCTTTGACTGTCAGTGAAGTATCATCATAGACAGTTATATAATCTAAATTGTTTTAAGAAGGTTGCAAATGAGGAAACCTCTATTAAAAATGAGGTTTATGAAATAAAATAAAGATATTATTTTAAATTATATCCCAAAAATTACATACAGATTCATAATCTTAAAACAGTCCATGGTCTATAAGTTTTTCTCAGAAGAAAAAAAAAAAAAGGAGCAATTGTATTTAAAATATTCAAGTGTTGGTGCCAAAAATTTTGAAGCCACATTAGCAAAGAAGTGATGCAAGTATTGTGTATGGGTCTGAGCAGCTGCTTCTTGTATGTGCTATTGATTATAGCAGGAACATTTTCAAAAGCTTTTTAGGTAATACAGTCTAATGCTGTCTTTCAGCAGTTTCCCATCAGATCAGAGCCAGGTCACATCAGTCCTGTCCTTGTGAATAACTTCACCAGACATTAAATTTCATGAGGATCTACTACTGTGGGAGCCAAACTCCATAATTCCCAGAGAAGGCTGAAGGCCTTATTTTGGATTGCTTCCAGTAGTCAATGCAGCAGACTCATTTCACTGATGTTAAAAGGTTAGGAAAAGGGTTATATTTTCCAAAGTTGCCATGAATAGTGAAAACATCAATCCCCCCATTTTATTTGGGCTCTGAAGAAGATCAAAGGTATGATGTTTACCTTGTTGGTTTCTAAAGCACAAAAGGACAACACTGCAGCTTTGACTCAGTTTCAGAAATATGAATATAATTTGGACATATTGCCAAGCACAATTCTTGAATATGAACAGATCTTCTGCTCTCAAAAAATACTGAATGAAAAATTCTATTATTTACTGTTGATTTATCAATTACTGCAAGAAGTCTTGAATTTCTCCTGATTTTCGGCTGCAATGTTGGAACTGCTAAGAATAAATATAGTCATTATCAAAGTTCTGAAGAAAATATAATATAGAACTTCCTTTTTTAAACATCCATACCATAGGAAAGTTTTTAATAAATGTACTGTTTTTTCATTTTTATAATAACTATGCCTATTTAGAAGACAGAGGACACTATTTTAAGAAAAGAAATAAATTAAAACAGTTTGAGCATAAACCACACATACAATTACTGATGTGTGAACTAATTTCAGATTTCAGCAGTTTTATTCAATAAAAATATTTAACTACATTATTGTGAGAATATGATAACCTGCTTCTTTAAAAAGTTGTTTAAAAATCTGCCTACAGATACACTTTTCAATAGATTTTTCTGTTCTCATGGCAACTTTTCTTTTTCTTAAATGGATTTTATAAGTGAAATGTCAGTGTTCTTCTTTTGCAGCTGATAGCATTTTCTCATTCCTTTTAATCTGATTGTCTTAAAAAATTTATGGCTGTAGGTATCTGTTTTCCTTATCTTTACCTGAAGACAGGGAAAATATGAGCAATGCCCAAAAGGCAAGTGATAGAGAAGAAAGAGCTGTTGTTTGTTCCATGCTAATCACACTGCTGCCACATGCTAACTACCTCAGGGTATGGAGTGGTTTGAGTACTGCCCTCCCAGTGATTTAGAACGGCTCCAGTAAAACCTCTGGCACATGGCTGGGCAGTGAAAGCCGATAAAGAGAGTATACAAACAAGAAATCACTTGTGGATGTAAAGCTTTGCTCTAGGTCCCCAGAGGGAATCAAGTACTTTACTATCTATTTATTCATAGCAAGTAGTTTAGATCATGGCAAAAAATATTATCTCTCCTTAAGATCCCCTGTTTCTCCCTGAAACGTTAGTATTAAACTGAAAAAAACCCTCAAAAACCATAAAAAAAAAAAAAAAAGATACTGAAAAAATATATTAAACTAATCCAGTGGAAATCCTGAAGATAACAGAAATCTAGTTTACTGGAGTTTGGAAAAATGGAAAGGAGCACAGTTTTGAAAACACGATAGCAGGAAAGTTAAGGTTTGACAACTGTCAAGTCTTTAGCATACTAGCTGTCTTTACTTTCTAGGGAAAAAATACTGTATTGCATTAAAACCGACAGAATTTACAGGTCAGTTATGATTAACTACAGAAGTGCATTTGAGGGACAATAAAATGTAGCTCTGCAGTGGCTGCTACACACTCTCTCTCATTTGTGATCTGACATACACTTCCTATGGAAAGGTATGCAAATTAAAAATGCTATCCACTTCTGGTAGAGTGTAAAAATGCTCATTCATTGCTTTTTTTTTTTTTTTTTTTTTTTTTTTGCCTAGCAGCTCCTTACTATGCTACAAGCAACTATCTTTCAACTTATATGGTCTGCACAGTGTCTCCAAGTCTATTTTGTCAATATGCCTTTCTCCAGTCATCCTGACAAACCACTGATTCGTGCAAGGCTGTGGGCTAACAGCTAGCAAAGAAATTGAGTTATGTAGACACAAAAGCTGAAGCTGAAAGATAAAGAGGAAGCAATGTCATTGTAAGGTCCATTTCCATTTGCCAGCACTACACTTGAGACAAGGTCTAAACAAATTATACATATTGCCTGAACAGCAGAGCTGTGTTGGCAAACAAACACAGACTAGGGCGGCATTAAAGAAAGAGGAAACCATCTCTGCTCTCATTCTGAGTTTTACCACTACACCTACTGTTGGTCATTCAAAGAAAATGTTTGAAATTCCTCTGAGAAGCTGTACTGACACTTGAATGTGGAATTTTGAGTTGGGATAATTGCCAATGGACGCCCTGGTACCTTCAAAAAGAGCAACAGGAAATGCTGCCAATTTCTCCTACAGTGCAGTGCAAGTAGATTGTGCTTCTAAGGGAGAGTGAAGCTAAGGATAAACAAGTAATGGTTTTAACTTCTATAAGTAATTTGCCTAGATAACGCTGATTAATGAGAACAGGTACACAGATGCATTCCTGTCAATTCCCTTCCAAAAACTGTTCCTCAGTCACCAGAATTTTGCTTTTTTATACAAACGTACGTTTAATAATGTTTCTCTAATAGTATGATGCACTGTAAGAGGATAGAAAAATTAATATATTAGAAAAGAGTAATATCTAAAATCTCGCCCTGCAGATGGCTCTGTGGTAGTTCATGTTATACTCTTTTGTTCTTTTTCTCACATCCATATAATGAAGCCATAGCTTCTATATTTGGAGCTTTATGGTGAATCTGATATATTTTAACAAAGCATGCACCAAGAAGATATATGGTGGATAAAGAAAAATTATGAATATATATTTATAATCAGTAACACCAAGGGGCACACTGTTGAAGTTAAAAAACCCAAATATGTTCTGCCCAAAGACTACTGTGTTGTCTAGCAAAACAGGAGACTGTACACCAACACAGCAAATGGTGTTCACTGAAGCTAGTATGTTCCTTCTGGGGTCATGTGGGAAGGAGGATAGAGGAGGGAACCTCTCTTTTTCCTGTGATTTTTCCACGTGTCCAGCTGATATGTGGCCCTCATGCAGCAGAACTTGTACAGAAATTGCAATCAAGCAGACAGAGTTCCAGGTTTCCTCCCTTCCAGATGAGGTTTGCCTTTGTGGGTGCAGAACCGGGCCCATCAGCCAGCTCTCAGGCTGGGAATCAAATTGCTTCTT